ATGTACTAACTGGGTATATGCAGGTTAGTGCAGGTAAAATTGGAGCTGTGCGGGTATTTCTGATGTCTACCTGCACCTAACCTGCACTGGGCCATGTACTGGGTATATGCAGGTTAGTGCAGGTATTTCTGATTTCTACCTGCACCTAACCTGCACTGGTCCATATACTAGGTATATGCAGGTTAGTGCAGGTAAAATTGGAGCTGTGCGGGTATTTCTGATGTCTACCTGCACCTAATTATAAACCTGCACTGGGCCATGTACTGGGTATATGCAGGTTAGTGCAGGTAAAATTGGAGCTGTGCGGGTATTTCTGATGTCTACCCGCACCTATCCTGCACTGGTCCATGTTCGCCTAACCCGCTCTAGTACTACCAGTCCATGGACTTTCAGGTGCAGGTATTAATTATACATGATATTTGATAACTGACAAGTTGAGCATAGTACACGCACTGCATCATAATTATTTTTTTGTCACTAATCCTTAGTAACTAACAATGTACATGTACATTCAATTCTGCTTCTCCAGGGTCATGATGAGTACAACTTAGCCAGTGAAGATGAAGCTGTGTGATAAGAAAGCAGATCTGAGAGAGGAACAGTGGAAGTCATCAAGCATTTGCTTCAACAGGATTTCTGCACAAGACTTGCTCGTGAAAAACAAGACTTGCAAGTGAAAACAGAGGAGAGCAGGCACTATAGTACATGTACTAGTCAGCCATGTTGTCCAACTAGAAAGAAGAGTACAAATCTAGTTTTAAGAAAGTGTTGATAAGATAACCTTAAGTTTCAAATACAGATTTGACATATGTAGGCATGTCGGCTGTTTTTCTTTATGTAAAAATTACTAAAATGACCTAAACATTGTCTGGTAATTCGGACAGTATATTGTATATACATGTACCATACGCATGTACTGTTTATCTAGCACACCATGATGTGTAATTTGCAAAATTGTAAGTATTCTTGCATATTTTGTTAATTAAATTTAATTGTAGATTAACATTTCTGAAAGCCTATGTTACCTTTTATAACTAAATATATATGTAAACAGCAGCAGTTCTGATGAGTTTAGTATCTGGTATCCTTGCACACAAGGTACCATGAACAGCCTTTTTGCAATTTCAGACACACTTTTTACAGGATAATCAAGATAATTAAATACTAAAATAGCAAAATAAGAGCAGCTGAGCAGGTATCATAAGTCAATTTATAAACATTAAACCTCCTTGGTCTGAAAGCTACATGTACTTTTGTTGTCTTTTATTTTCAAGATTTTATTCTTCAGCTTCTTCTCAATGAAGAACCCTAGTCAGTAACCTAATAAAAGCAAATTGACATATCAGGCTCTGTATGCACTGGTTTTCATCACTTTTGTTTTGAATAATGATGACTAAGTTCACTTTTTAGAATATTGTAATGGAATGGATTGAAAATTTAAATGGAATTGACTGGAGGTACTCAGGAGCAAGGGGCCAGTTGCTGGCCTAGCATTTAGGATGGAGGGGGGGATTGAAAATGGAAGCTGTGGTGCATTAAGAAGCAAGTATCGAATATATTAAAACTTAAATGTTACACTTCACAAATTCCAAAGTTGTCAGTCTGACTATAGACAAAGCGACTTAAGGCTTTGAGCCAATGCTAAGTAAAATCAGATTTGTCTTGTGACATATGAATTGCAAAAATGCAGGTCCTTACACAAA